GCCAGATTTTGTTGTTTGCAGCCTTGTTTGGAATGAGCCAGAAAAAAAAAGTGTATATATATATATATATATATATATATATATATATATATATATATATATATATATATATATATATATATATATATATATATATATGTAATTAGTTTATTTCTTTAACCAATTACTTCTAATTGTAATTGTAATTGACCCATGTGTAATTGTAATTGTAATTGCCTTGGTGTAATTGAAATATTTCAATTACGTTTATTTTTCATAAAATTATTTAATTTATATTAATTAAATCCTTTTCCTGTTTACATGTAAGCTATGATGAATAAAATTAAGTCAGATGTAGCTTTAATTTTCGAATATTATGAAATTGATTCTATCACTAATGAAGGTAGCTCAAAACCAAATGGTGACAATGTAAAAATAAAATGCAAAACATGTGGACCCAGTGGGAAAAAAGATATCTTTAGACGAATAAAAAACATCTTTTTTATGACTTGTTATGTCTTTTTATAATCAGCCTACAAAAGACGTAGAAAAGACGTCTTTTAAAAAGACGTTTTCAAAAAAGTGGGCGAAAAGACGTCAATCAGTTGTACGTCTTTAAGAAGACGTAGAAAAGACGTTTTTTATCACCTTTAAAAAAAAATTTTATGACCTTTAAAAAAAAGAAACGAGAAAGTTTTCATTTAAATGTTAAATTAAACAACAACTAGTAGAAATTTTTTTTCTTTAGAGAGGGGGAGGGGAATATTTACTAACGTTTCCCACTGGGAAACAACTTAAGTTCTTAATAAGTAAACCATTTGCTTATTATGATTATAATAAACAAATTATTATTATTTGCTTATTAACAACTTTCGTTGTGAATAAGGAAATCATTTTTTGCTTAAGAAAATTAAAAATAATTATTGCCAATAGAACCTAACAAACCTTGGTTTTAACCCACAGTATCGTAATTACGATATCTTTGTTACGTTCTGATTGGACCGCTTTTTGTTTACAAAATACTTTTACAAAACTTTTTTTTATGTGAAACGTTTTTTGCATAGGAAATTTAATTAAAAATTAACTATTTTCGGTGAGCGGGCTTATTTTATAATTTATATAATAAAATAATATATTATATAAAAAAAAAACATAATATATATATATATATATATATATATATATATATGTATATATATATATATATATATATATATATATATATATATATATATATATATATATATATATATATATATATATATATATATATATATATGCTTTCTCTTTTATATTGACACCTAAAAGAGGTTTTTTTCTCGGCATCGGAAAGAGCTTTTTGTCATACTTTGTATGAAGAGCTATTACCATTTTCATTTAAAATAAACAGGTTTTCATATATGAAAAATAGGAATACATTAATGTATAGGATACTATAGTATACTAATAAGAATGACAAAAAGTCGTTCCGACCCCGAGCAAAAAAACTTTTTTAGAAGTGCTTAATTGATAAACAAAGACGCATTTTTTATGTCTTTTCATGACAAGATAAAGACAAAAAGATGCCTTTTCGATGTCGTAAAAAGATATCTTTTAGATTTTCAAATTTGACTAAAAAAAAGAGTCTTAAAGACATTGTAAATAAGACTTTTAAAGACGTCTTTTCGACTTTTTTTTCCCACTGGGGAGAGTTTGTTTCATACTCAACAAAGGCAAATTCAAACTTTTGTACTCACCTGTCGGTAAGTGAAACAATATCACAATACCATACAATTATAGCTATTAATTATAACGTGTACTTTGCAAAGTTGAAAAAAAAGTTTATTAAAACAATCTACATTATACAGATTATGTAATATTTATATAACTATGTTATAATTATTCTCTAATTTCTGTTGTTTTTATTTTTAAGTTGCATTGGTGCATGCGAAATGAAGTAGAAGACTGCAAAAATACCGTAGTTGTAGAAATGCAAAAATTCTGCACTGTAAATGTAATCAACTTGACTCGGCAGTCTCCGTCTGTACTTGTACTATCACCTGCACCTGCACAAATTTCTGATCAAGGGTCACAAGAGGAACCAAACAATAAGAAACTGAAAATTAATCTCTTTAGTTTTATGAAAAGTTCAGGTCAATAAGAACAAGAGATACAGGAACAAGACATATTGCTAAAACTAAGACACGAGCTGAATGATTATGTGAAGGCTCCATTACAGGAGTATGAATCTGACCCTCTTGTATGGTGGAATTCAAATAAGATTTTTTTTCCACATACAGCTCGAGCAGTAAGTGCTCTGCTATCTATTCTAGCATCATTTGCACCAGTAAAAAGAGTTTTATATATATATATATATATATATATATATATATATATATATATATATATATATATATATATATATATATATATATATATATATATATATATATATATATATATATATATATATATATATATATATATATATATATATATATATATATATATATATATATATATATATATATATATATATATATATATGTATATATATATATATATATATATATATATATATATATATATATATATATATATATATATATATATATATATATATATATATATATATATTACTCACAAATGTTTTTTTATCTTGCTGTATGTATATGTTGTATGTTTATTTTACAGCTACAACTATAAAAAAATTTTATAAACTTATTTGAATGAATGCTTAAGAGAAAAAACAAAATAATTCATTGTGTCAAAAGTAAAAATAACAAACTAATAATTACTGATGTCTTTATAGAAATTTTTAAACAAGCTCTATGTTCTGAAATTAGAAAGAAATTTTACAAATAAAATGTACAAAACTTATGGCTTTTTTTTTCAAATATTTAAAAAAAAAACATTTTTAGATATAACAAAATTTAAATTTAAACCCATAACCCAGGAAAAAAAGTTCTATAAAATTTCTATAAACAATTGAAACATATGGCCTATAGAAATTCTATAGAACTTCTATAGAAATTCTATAGAATCTCTCTTAATTTCTATAGAAATTCTTATGGAAATTTTTTTTTTCAACTTTTAATTTCTATAGAAAATAAAGGTTTTATAGCAATTTCTATAGAAATTAATAGACATTCTATAGTAATTCTATAGAAGTTCTATAGAATTTCTATAGGCCATGTTTCAAAAGTTTATAAAAGTTCTATAGTACATTTTTTCCTGGGAAATAACTACATAATTATTAAAATCGTCACACACAAATAAAACATCGTTCGTATAAAAAATTTTGTTATAAGAGAACAAATTAAGTCCAGTTATAAAAAATATAAATATTATTTAATAACTGATTATTTTATAATCCATAAAATTTATTATACAAACCAATTACTGAATTTAAAAAAAAAAAAAGGCAACGCCCAGAAAACATGGAATGTCACAAAATACATAATTGATAAAACATATTTTCTTCCAAAAGTGAATAAGCTTTAATAAAATATTTAGTGAATCAACAATTACAAAAATATCTAATCACGTTTTCGTCACCGCAGGATCTAATTTAGTGCTAAAATTAATACAAAGTAAATTTTGCATCAAATCATATTTAAATGAACAACGATAAAATAATCCATAATAAACGATTATGTGCTGCAACCGAACAAGAGGTAAAGATAGATAAAAAAAAAAGCAAAAAAACAACAATAACGTCATAATAAAATCTACAGCTGTGGCGCCGTGGTTAAAGTTTTGATTTAGAAACAGGAGCTTTCATGTTCAATGGTGGCCAGGGTGATCGTTTTCCCGGTTTTTATTTTTAATTAGTTTAGCGTAGCGCTCTCCTAAATAAAAACCGGGACAATGGTCACAATATGTGACTAATGGTGGCTTAGATCAGATAACTTAATATAACTAAATGTTAACGTATCTAAATGTTATTCTGTATATCTGAGTATATTCAATATAGTATTTTATTCAACTAAATGTATAGCGATAAAAGCTTCATGTGAGCTACATTAGAATGACAAAAATCTTTTAATTCAATCGTAGAGTACTAGAAAAATTATGTTACGGAAAGATATTAAAATATATACTTTAGTTGCTTTATATTATGTTGTACATTCCATAACATCATATTTTATTTAAAACAGAAAAACAAAAATAAAAAACTATTTGATCTAATATTACAACAAACTTCAAAAAACCAAATGAACAACTATAAAACCAAATGAACAACTATAAAACTGAAATGAACAACTATAAAACTGAAATGAACAACTATAAAACCAAATGAACAACTATAAAACTGAAATGAACAACTATAAAACTGAAATGAACAACTATAAAACCAAATGAACAACTATAAAACCAAATAAACAACTATAAAACTGAAATGAATATTTGTTATATGAAAAAAAAATAATATGCAAATGACACAACTCTATGAGAGAATGTGATTACTTATGCAAAACCTATTGTCATGGATATAAAATACGTAACAAGTTAACAATTTTATCGTACGTATTACGGCTAGTAAATGTAAACTAAATAATAGTGACCAAATATTTAGGTCTTAAACGAGCAGATCAAATTTTAGCTGAAAAACTGAATACTATAACTTCATGCATTATTTAAATAGAAGACAAACTTACCTTTAAAGCAAAGATACCTTTAAAAATTTGCGATCACATTTTAAAATTATTTAAAGATTTAAAATAAAGATACCGAACAGAAAATCCAAAGGTAATGGTGAAGAACAAGCGAAGACTGTATATTAATTTGTGTTTTCATTCTATGTTTGGAAACGATAATTTTTGCTAAAGTTAAAATTTCTGTCCTCTATTAGATTTATTTTCAATGTTTACTTAATATTGTCTTCTTATTGACACAATTTTTGTATTTAAAGTCTAATATTGTGTTTTTACCATTCTTAACCATTATATATATTCAATCATGTTGAGGGGCGTGTTTTAAGCCGTTTTCTTCGCATTATTATCATCTTCAGCAAAAAAAAAACAGAAAAAAGCATTATATATGAAAAACGTTTTAGTAACTAATAACTTAACACTTGAAATATAAAGAATAATTAATCAAACAATTATATACACATATACAAATTTTTTTAAATAATTAAAAACGATCTAAAAATTTAGAGTCCCTAAAAATTAAAAATACCCAAACAATAAAATCTGTTTATATTAATATATAAAAATTTGTCGATATTGTTAGTATCACTTTTACTGTTGGTAAGAATATAGATGTTTTTAGTTACAATGATTTATATGCCGAATTGTTGATTAGATTTTTTGTGCCGTTGGTAACATAATACTGTTTTATGTTGTAGCTCATCACTAAAATTGTTTGGTAAGAATATGTGTGTGCTAATGCTATTCGTAATAAAAAAGCATTGTTGTCGATAATAAAAAAAAGTTTGCGTATAGTAACAAAAACCGTTGTTAGTTAAAAATTTTGAAAAAAAAATTTAATTACCAACGACTAAAAATAATTTCTGTTTAACGCTCAAAAATCTAAAGAACTCTATTTTCCGAAAATATAAACTATTGCTTCATAAGTCAAAAACGTCACAGCAGTGTTTGGCAACTGCCTCAGCAGACTGGTGCCAAATCCTCCGTATAATCCTGGACGACCTTCTTCCTTAGCAACACGGAATAGAGTTTGAAAAAAATTTCGATATTTTAATCGCCCATTTAGATCATAAACATCTTCACGCAACCGTACGCGAACAACTTCATGTGGATACATTATTGTAGTAGCTGTACTTTTAGATAGGACTGCAGCTATCATTACATTTAGCGCGCGAAACTGATCCGCATTATTAGCACTAACTAATTGTTTTAAATCTTCGTAAACGAGAAAATATATAACAGTTTCTAAAACGCCAACATATGACGCGCTTAGTCCTCTAAAAAAACATTTTATTCCATGGTTTTGATAACCTCTATATACGACTTGATAAATTGACGGATTTTTGCTTTTATCAAGCTGAAGCATTGTCTTTATATACCAAATAGGATTAGTAAATGTTCCTGTAACCGAACCAGCCAGTACAGCTGAAATGGTATTAACAGTATGCTGGTTTGTATAAGATTTACTTTGATATAAATAACTCTTGGCATTTGCATAGCAGAAAAAATAAATAGACTTTGCAGGCACTATACCTAACAAACTAGGCGATAATCCTTTGAACAAAGAGCGTACCCCTTCAGTATGTACCATATGCTTCATATATGAAAACAAAATTTGAAAATATCCAAATCCAAAAATCGGACGGGCTATCAAAGAAACCGAAGAATTACCAATTATCGCAGTTAAATTTGTGGGGTTAGAAAAATTTAGTTTTGTAGAAAGCAATCTGGTTTGTACGACATCAAGTGGACAAGTAAGAAACTGACCAGCGGTTGCACCAAGTCCACCGGCGAACAAATGAAGCAGTTTATTGAATAATTCATTTTGATTCATAATGACTCTTTTAATACTTTCATATTTACCTAGAACAATCAATAAAAAAATCGTTAAAATAATTCATTGAATCATTCATCGTAATTTCCTTTTAAAATATCTGTTTTAATACAAAATAAACAAACAAATTTATTTTTTGATTTTTAAAGTTATCAAACAAATTGCTTAAAACTTTTCTTTCTCTAATATATTTTATATTTATATTCAATCACATTTTTCTTCAAAATGCCAGTTATAAAGTTGAACATGAAAACCACCCAAATTTTCATTTAAATAAAAATTAAATAAAAAAGGTTTGTTTTAACATTAACAATCTTTTTTCATCTTCTTTGAGTTAGAAGGCTCTTCTTCGCTATCAGAAGATGAATCAGATGACGAAGACGAAGAACTACTTGACGAATCATCCGATTCCGTTACATTCTCATCATCAGCATCAGCGTTCGACTCAACCTGTTTTGTTATTTCCTTATCTCTAAAATAAAACACAAAATGATTATATATTATATAAAAAAAAATCTATAGAAAAATTTTAAAACAAATACAAAAAACTTAAATACAATAAACACAAAACACTAAAGCTACTTACGCTATTTGCTTTTCTTGTGCCAATGCTTTTATTTTTTTCGCAAGTAACTTAGTGCGCGATTCTCTTTGAACGTATTTCCTTTTGTTTTGACATTCGTATGTCCAATGACCATATTGCAGACATTTTTGACATTTATGTTTAAGCCCATCAGCTTCACTTTTCAACAACAAAAATAAAAGATATACCCATGATTCATATTGAAATATTTCTTTTCACTTTAAAAAGCAAAAATAGATTTTTGAAAATTTTTATTGTAAAAAATTTACGTTATAAAAAACTTACGTTTTCTTTTGCAACGCAAACCTTTTAGTTAAAGAAGCCATTTCATCTATTCATTATTATTCTAGACATACTCAAAGTTTTATTAAAATCTAAATAAAATATTTGACGTTACACACTGACTCATTGGATTTCAAAAAAGACAGTTATAACCAAAATAAAATTTCTTTATTTAACGGTTTATCAGATTTACTTTATGTTCTAAAAAATGAAATTAAAAAATGTTTTTTAAAAAATACGAGATAATCATACACTTAAATGAACGTTTAAAAAAATAACTAAATTCTATAAAAATAACCTTCTAACATATTAAATAAATGTTTAAAAAAAGTAACTACAATTCTATAAAAATAACCTTCAAACATATCAAGTCATAATTTAATTAGGTAAAATTAATATTTTATGTTGAAATAAATTTAGAGGTTGCTTTTATGAATTGTAAAGGTTTTATGTAATCTTTAAATAGTGAAAAAAAGTCGATAACAATGATTGCCGGAAACTAGTTAGTTACAATAGTTCGTCAGCCGAGAACCAATAGGCCGTATGTCCATATTTTGTTTTTTTTTCTGTTTATTATCAACAAATGTTCAACAATCAATGGAGTATGTGTCCAATAAATCTAGTTTTAAGAATACAACTTTTAAAAATATTTGAAAAATTAATCGAACATTCTGGCAAAAAGCCTTTACAAATTAAATTTTAAAACTTGATTTTCTCGGAAACACAAAAAATGAAATGGCACCCCCCCCCCCACGTGACACCTACTCGCGCCGGCCCTGCATACGGCCTCTTAGTTCTCGGCTGACGAATTGTATCCAATTTATAATTTTTTTGACCGATATGTCCGTTTTTCATAGAGCAAATAAATTTTTATTGCACACAAACAACCTTTAAATTGACAAAAAATAAAAATAAAAACACAAGTTTCTGATTTTATAATTTCGCAGTAAACATTTTGACATAAACCTCCAGTAATATTTTAGCAGTAAATATTTTGACATAAACCTCCAGTAAATATTTTGACATAAACCTGCATATGGAAACATCCTTTTATTAAAATACTTAAGTAAAAAGCTTTTAAGGAATTACGTCAGCAATCTGTTTACTATGAAGCTGCATTAAGCCTTGAAAATATTTTACAGTCTTAACTTTAAGTTCTAAAGTTGCAGCGTCGTCACAAATGAAAAGAGTGTTGGGATGCTGCTGAAAAGCAGAAACAGTCCACATATGATTGACACCTTCTTCGATAGCTTTATGTAATGCAAGCGCTTTACCTGCTCCCGTAATAAGGATCATTACCTAAAAAAATTTTGAACATAATAAATGGAATTTTAATATATAAAGAACAACATCACAAGTATAAAAATATATTTATAAGATATTTAAAAAAAAAAGTGAAACCTCTTTAGCATCCATGACTGTACCTACACCAACAGTCAAGGCTTCCTTTGGAACAAGGTTTATATTGCCATCAAAAAAACGTGCATTAGCGATCACAGTTTCTAAAGCAAGTGTTTTCACTCGAGTTCGAGAAACTAATGAGGAGCCAGGTTCATTAAAAGCGATATGACCATCAGGTCCAATTCCTTTATATAATATTAGAATATATAAATCTATTTAATCTCTCTCTCTCTCAATTCTCTCTCACACACACACAAACACACAGATTTTTATATATATATATATATATATATATATATATATATATATATATATATATATATATATATATATATATATATATATATATATATATATATATATATTTAAAGCTAGTTTTTACTTATAACTTTTCAAGAATTGAAAGTATTCAATTCAAAACTGTATTAAGTAAAAGTTAGATTCAAAGTATTGTAGTATCTTAGAGTAAATGTTGAGTCTAGTCAAGTCTATAGCCAATTATTAAACCAAAGTAAAAATCCATAAAAAATTTTATTTACTATATTTTAATGTTTAACTAATGCTAAATATTAAATTGATTTAAAATGATATATTTCCACTAGTATTTCTTTAAAAAAAATATGTGCTTTTTATAATTCACTAGTGCTGATTCAAAGCTTATTTAAGGATTCATTACATTATATTAAAACTTGTATCTGACAATTTATAAATTTATGCACCAAAAAAATATTAAAACAAAAACAAAAAACAAATCAATTAAAAAAAAAAAAGAAAGAAAAACTAGATTTTAAAAACAAAAATTTTGAACACAAAAGAAACCACCTACTTTTTAACCATCTTTATAAAAGCAATATGAATCATCCTATTGTAACTTATTCAAATGATATTTCTTCAATTTCTCTAATTTTCTGAGGTAATAATTGTTTTTTTTAATTTTTTTTTACTATTATATGCTTCATGTTAATTGCAACCATCAAATAAAAATATGATTGCTTGTGGTTAGTGATAGGCTTAACTGAAAAAAAATTTTACAAAAACAAAAAACAAAATACTTGACTAGTTCAGCTAAACTTACCTCCAATGAATAAATGTATTCCTCCAGATTCAAGTATTTTTTTTTCATATTCATTGCATTCCTTAATTAGATCATCAGCATTTCCATCCAATAAATGGGCATTTTCTGGTAAAATGTCAATATGCTTAAAAAAATTAGACCACATAAAGTTATGATAGCTTTCTTTATGATCTCGAGGAAGACCAACATACTCATCCATGTTGAAGGTCTTTACATATTTAAAGGAAATCAAGCCACTTTGATAGAACTCAATCAACTTTTTATACATTCCCAGTGGAGTAGAACCTAAAAGTTAAAACACACAAAAAATAGAAACATAAAAAAAAAAAATTCTCAGTAAAATATTTTAAACTGCAGCTTATGTGTGAATAATATTCCCTAAATAATCTTATTTTTCATGCCATTCTTCATAAAAAAATATAATCATGTTATTGGAAAAATTTATTTTAATTTTTTTTTATTGACTTCTTTATAAGAAGTCAAATAAAAAATTCAAATCAACTAAAAAAAAAATTAATTGCCATACTACCTCAGCAATTCCATGCAACGCGTTAATGCGTTTATTATTGAAAAAACAAAAGTTTGTGGTATTTACATTTTAAAAATAAAAAATAAACTTTATTATTTTATTACAATAACCCAACTGTATTAAAAAAACTAAACTTTTCATCATTTTTATTTATATTTTAACAGAAATTGCTCAAAATGTCACAATGTGACACCGATCTGTATATTTTTTTATGCACATAGATATTTGTAAAACTGTGTTTCCTCAATAAAAGCAAAACACAGAGGCATGTGGAATTGATGTAATTTGGTTTAAAGAAATATTAAAAACTTAATAATTGTTAGTAGAAGAAAGGTATAGTATTATAAACTGTTGCACTTTGAGCCTAAAAGATTCTATATTAAAAAGTTCTTGGACATAAGTTGTATTTTCAAACAATGGAATGTAAAAGATCATTATTAGCTATAAAGCTAAACCATAGTTTAGATCATTATAACAATTTGTCTGATAAATAATTTATAAAAAAATACAGTTCATTCTTTTATTACAAAAAGTCTTAAAATATATTTATTATTTAAAAAATATAAAATTTTTTAAATTAACATTTATAGTTAAAATAAATATAAAAACAAAGCTATAGTTAATTATAAAATATCTTAAAAAAAAAGCACACAAACAAGAAACCAAATAAATACCAGTAATAAAATCACCGAGTGATTTTATTACTGTGAAAAGAATAACTTTTTTTCTTCCTAGTTTTTGAAGAACCAACAAACAACTATACACATATCTTTGTTTTATTTTTGTCAAAATGAAGTCATAAGAATTAGTTTTGATTACATATCTAACAAGTCAAATATAAGAACCAAAAGTGAAATGAGTCAAAACATTTCTTCTTCTTTTTATTTTATTTTTTTGTAGAAATTATTTCTTGATTTTGCTGTTTTTTCAATTTGTGCTATAAAAATTTTATATTATTCTTCACATAAATAACTTTTTACCGAATGTTGCATACAAATGTTGTTATGAATGTTGCATACAAATGTTGTTATGAATGTTGCAAAAATGTTGTTATGAATGTTGCATACAAACTATAAAGTTCTATCTGTATTTTTTTTCTGTTATAAGAAGTTAGCAATTTAAAAAATTATAGAAATATGAGTTTAGTTATAAAACATAAATAACATAAACAACTTATAACTTATTAATATAAACAACAGCAGTAAAACATTTTAACTAAACCTCTGAGCCATTGATTTAATACACTTGTCAATATCAGTCAATTTATTTTCACTCCATTAAATGTAACCTTTAGCCTTACTACCAGCCGTCTCAAAACAATGTATTTTTTATCAAATTTGAATAACATCTTAGTTTAACATATTATAGCAAAACAATTAAGTGCAATTTATAATTTTTTTGTTACTACTAAGTGTTAGACAGCAAGGAGTTTTAAATGATTTATTTCACATTATTTTTGAATAATATAACCCCCTGTTTATAACAATATAAAACTTTATTTCTGACTGATTATAAAAAAAAATTTCTGTTTAAATAGTTGTAAGGAACTGTAAATCTGAAAACCAACAGCAACCCTTGGAAATAGGGTTGGCATTCAGCAATGCCGACCTTACTGCCTTCTTAGAAGTGTTTGAGGTCAGCAAAAAATCGTCAACCTAGTTTCTATGTTTTATGGTCAAACCTTTGTTTTACATTTTTTCTGCCGACCTGATGCCAAACTCACACAGATTAAGGTTGGCAAATTATTGTCGACCTTATTTTTCCTAATTCTGAGGGCTGCAACAGAAAGAGCAAATATGAAAAGTACATTTAAACTGCCAAGGAAATTCAATATATATTCGATTATATATTATATAATATATGGAGGACCAAAAATATAGAATACCTATCAAAAAGTGTTAAAATGTATGGTAAAGTTGTTAAGTTGAGTTTCTAACAAATAACTTGAAAAACATCTGTGCTCTGAAAAAAAAAGTTACTCTGAAGTATCTTTTTTTTATTTTTTTTGTTTTTAATTATCTTGTTAGCTCAGTGAAACTTACAATTATGCTATTATATTATACAATGCTCACTATTACAATTTTTAATATATCATTCAAAAAGTAAAGATGACTAAGATAAGTAATGATGATGAATCGAAGGATAAAAATTTATACTTCGATTTTTGATTTGTTTACTTCAAA